GGTGATGGAGGTGGAGGAGGAGGAGGAGAAGGGGAAAAGGGAGAAGGATACCATACGCACACCAGACGTCCGCTCGAAAATCTCTGGTTATCCCAGGCATTCGTGTCTTATCGTTGGAAACAATCTCAGCGGCGAGGAGGAGAAGCCGCTCAATCTCGTCCTTGTCCTTGCCCGCCTCCTCCTGCGTATAGAGGAGAGCGAGGTTGCAGAGGGAGGGAGGATGGTGGGGAGCCATCTTCAGGATAGCCTCGTACTCCTTGATCGCGCTGGACCTGGAGGAGAAGATGAGGGAGGGGGACTGGGAGGGAGGGAGCGAGGGAGGGAGAGGAGCGAGGGAGGGAGAGGAGGGTCGGAAATCATGAAACTGATGATTATGACGAAAAAGATGTCGTCGGGAATGTGGAGAAGGTAAAGGTAAGCAACGAGCAACAGGAATGGGATGAGAAAAGGAAGGAGACAAAGGTTGTGGTGATGTGTGTGTGTGTGTGTGTGTGTTGAGAGCAAGAGGAAGGGGAGGGCGTTTTCGGACAGCGGGCTTGCATGTGGAGGGGGAGGGGAGGAAACGCTGTCAGACCTCAACTCCTGCATGTGCTGCTTCTGCTCCTCCTCAGTCAGAAACTCCTCGTACATGTCCAACACTGGCGCCTTCCTGCCTCCAACCTCCACCTGCTCAATTCTCCTCCTGCTCATCCTCCCTCCCTCCAACTTCTCGAGGTAGTAGTTGCATGTCCTCTGCAGGACGCACGCGAAGTTGTAGCGGGTCGGGAGGTGTCGAGGTTCCAACTGGACCTGAGGGACCAGGATGAGCTCAACCAAGTCTCAAGCTCCTCCCTCCATCCTCTCTTGTCCCTTTCCCTCCTCTCCTTTCCCTCCTCTCCTCTCCTCTCTTCTTCTCGCCACTCCCTCCCTTGCTCCTCTCCTTTCCTCCCCTCTCCTCTCCTCACCGCTTTTTCATACAGAAGGGTAGCATTTCTACCAAGTCCAGCCCCCCCCAGCAACCGTCCAGCAGCCCTCAAGCTCGGGAGGTGAGAAGGATCCTCCTGTAAGGCCTTCCCGTAGAGCTCCGCGATCACCCCAGCCTCTCCTGCTCCCAACAGTCACTTCCTCCTCCCCGTTACTCCCCCTCTCCTCTCCCTCCTCGTCCTTCCCCTCTCAAGGCTGCACTAGCTCATATTCTCTCCTTCTCCTTCTCCTTCTCCTCGTCTCCTATCTACTCTCACCTTCTGTGTTTTGCAGCCATGAAGCGTAAGCAAAGTATGTCTGTGCTGTTTTGGTTGTCAGCCAGAAAAATCGATGAGGTCAAAGTAAGGACGGAGCGAGAGGAGAAGCTCTAGGGTAAGGGGGACGGGAGAGGAAAGGGGGAGGGGAGAGGAAAGGGAGAGAAGTGATAGGGAGGAGGGGGGACGAAGGCGATAGGCGGAGAGGAGGTGCAGTAATACCCGAGCAGTTGGTGTTCTGCATCGCCCGGAGAAAGAGAGCTTCCACTTGCTGCTTTGAGCTTCCGAGGCTGTGAAGGACCTGGACAGAAGTCAGGAGGAGCGAGGAGGAGGCTGAAGGGCAAGAGAGGGAGGGAGGGAGGGAGGGAGGGAGGAGACCGAGGCAAGACTGCAGAGGGAGGGAGCATGATCCGGGGAGCTTGCAAGGGCTGTTTGCAGTAGCTTTGCTGCTTCGGTTGAATTCCTCTTCACGTCGTGGAGCAGCGCAGCAAAGTTGCAGAGAGCATCGATGTGGTGTCTGAGAGGAGTCAGCGTACGATGGGAGCAGGACAAGGAGGGGCAGCAAAGGAAGGCGATGAGTGTGAGGGGAAGAAGAATGTGACACGATGCGACATAATGCACTGCCTGGAGTACAAGGAGAGATTTGAAAGCAAGAAAGGAGCACGAGATTCAAAGGCGAGGACGATGATGAAGACGAGGAGGAGGAGGAGGAGGAGGAGAATGGGGATGAGAAGAAGGAGGAGGATGAGGAGAACTTACTGATCTCTTGATAAGACGTGGCGATACAAATTCTCCGCATCCCCATATAGCCCGCGAAGGTGAAGGCATCTGATGGAAAGAAAAAAAAGAGGAACAAGTCAGAAACATCATACAGGGTCTCCATACTCCCTGCCCTTCCCCCTCCCCGCCCCCTTCTTCTTCTCCTCTCCTCTCCTCTCCTCTCCTCTCCTCTCCTCTCCTCTCCTCTCCTCTCCACCTCGCTAGGCTCATCGCTGCTTCCAGGTGGTCTTTATCAATCCGCAGGGCTTCTCCGTAGCTTTTCTCCGCTTCCTCCTTGTCGTTCTTCGCACAGCATCAGCTACTTCCAGCGTGTCCTCCTCCTCACCTTGTCTCGTTCCAGCAGGATTCCCAGCCTGTACCAGGTCTCTGCGCTGCCGGGAGAAAGTTCGATAGCTGCCCTCAGTGTGCTTTCGCTCTTGCGTGTGAGCTCCTCCTCCTCGGCAGGGGAGCAGGGCAACGATGTGTTGTCTGTTGGGTAGCAGTGAGTACAAGGAGAGCAGAAGAGGATGGAGGCCAGGAGCAGGTGTAGCAGCGGGCTTGAAACAGGAAGAAAGAAGAAGTCTAAGTGAGGGCTAAAGAAGGGAGGGAGGGAGGGAGGGAGGGGAGGGGAGGGGAGGGGAGGAGGGAGAGAAGGAGGGAGGGATGGATGGATGGAGGGAGGGAGGGGCTTGACCGGTATCGGGAGAGTTTTTGAGGGCCGCAGGTCCATGCCACTGTTCCAACAGCTCCTCCTCGTTGGGCGGTGCCGGCCCCTCCTGCTCCACAGGCTCCTCCTGCTTCTTCATACCTCTGCTCCTCTCGTCTGCTTCAATCAGCTTCAGGTGTCTGTTTCTTCTCTCTTCCCTCAGCTCTCTGGCGATTCCCCGTCCTAGGATGTTCACACCAGCGTCTGCCTTGGTGCTGCTGCCATCCTTCCTACCTCCCCGATCCATCCCCAGCATGAATCGACGGAAGATCTCTGCCGACGAGCTCGAAAGCACCTGCAGCAGGTCACTCATCATCGAGGCAAGCTGCCGCTCAAACCTGCTCCCTTGCTTCCAACGGCTCCTGCTGCTCCTTTGACCGAGAGGGGACCTTGAAGAGCTGGTCCTTCGCTCGTCTTCCTCCCCACTTCTCTTGATACTTGGAGTACTGACCACCGTACTCATCATCAATTTCCTCGTCCTCATCGTCATCGTCATCTTCTTCTCCTTCTCTCTCCTTCTCAGGCTTGTCCATCTGTCGCAGAAGGCTCCTCCTCCAGTCTTCAGCTTCAGGAGCCGCCATGCTCCAGGTGAGATGTAGAGGTCCGAAGGCGGGAGCCTGGGGCTCTGGGGGAGGGAGTTTGAGGTTTTCAATGAATTCCTCCATCTTGTTCTCTTTCTCATCGATCAATGACCCTCCTCTCAGTCGCGAGACGCCCACCAAGGGGACCATGCCGAGGACAGCAGGAGCTACTTGGTGTACAGGGCGAGGAGGATACGAGACGATCGAGGTGAGCAGAAACAAAAAGGAGAGGAAGGGAACATTTCTTAGCGAGCAGATGGCTCCAAACACAGCAGGCTGCCTCAAGAAGCCCATTGTCGCTGAGGAGATTGCAATCACGAGGGAATGATTCCAAGGATCAAGGGAGGGTCAGTCTGAGTGGACAAGATCACGATGTGACGGAGAGTGCACAGTGGCTGATTGGGGCAGGGGTCCAGTGAGGAGAGCAGGCAAAGAGGAGGCTGAGAAGGAGGAGAGGATGAGAACTATGGACAAGGAGGGGCAAGAGGAGGGAGGAGAGAGCGGGAGGTGTCATAGGACCGGCACGCGCTCCTTCCTTCTCCCCCCCTTCCCCTCGCCATGCTTCACAGGCAAAGCGACCGGACAAGCCTTGGCACCACAAACATGTAACCACATCCCCGCTCAACCCGCCCCGGGGCCCGGCGGGCACGGCCCTGCCGGGCCAGCTGCCGGGCACCCAGCTACCAGTCTGCATGATGCCGGGCAGCATGATGGGGCTACCACTCTGATGGGGCTACCACTCTGATGGGGCTACCACTCTGATGGGGCTACCACTCTGATGGGGCTACCACTCTGATGGGGCTACCACTCTGATGGGGCTACCACTCTGATGGGGCTACCACTCTGATGGGGCTACCACTCTGATGGGGCTACCACTCTGATGGGGCTACCACTCTGATGGGGCTACCACTCTGATGGGGCTACCACTCTGATGGGGCTACCACTCTGATGGGGCTACCACTCTGATGGGGCTACCACTCTGATGGGGCTACCACTCTGATGGGGCTACCACTCTGATGGGGCTACCACTCTGATGGGGCTACCACTCTGATGGGGCTACCACTCTGATGGGGCTACCACTCTGATGTATTGGAATCAATTCCTGACTCCTAGAGTCTGTGCACAGATGAATGACTAGTAGAACAGCTCAACAGCTGACTGATAAGTCCAAAGACCAAGACTCACAGATGATGTGCGCACGAAGACACCAATGACTTTCACAGCCAACCAAACACCTCAGATAACTCAGATCAACTTCCCAACAATCCCCAGCACTTTATTCCCAACACTCGTAGCAGCAAGACCAACCAAACAGCTTCCCTTCACACACCACCGCCTTACTTCCACCACTGTACGAGTGCTGCCTCTTCGACAGCCGGCGCCTCTTGATTCCTCCGGCGCCGCCTCAGTTTCCCCAGGCTCCAACCAACCGGATCTTCTAAGTCACAGACTAAGCTCCAGCCCACTAGCTTGGACCTGCAGGCTTCACTTGGTTCACAACCTGATTAGACGCATCCCTTGAACTTATCGCGTCTGAAAGAACTTCTGAGAGGTTTGTCAGAACCTGAGTTCTTACACCCTCCCTTTGTGAAGCAAGTCAGAAGTCTGCAACCTTCTCAGCTTGTCAAAATCATCTGCTTGACAGCTAAGCAGCTGTCCCCTGCGATGTCCTCCTTTCCAACGATCGCTCTAGCTTCTTGCAGCGTTGTCAGCTGCTCCCATCACCTGACCATCAACATCTTTCCCAAGCTGACTTCCATGCTGCTCTCCTCTCCAAGGTCATCTTGCTGCTACCACTCCATCAACCGTTCTGCACAGGCTCATCCCCCATCTTGCATGCCTCCTGCGCTCCTCCTTCGCTTCAAGTGTGCACCCTGGTGCGCCTGCGTTTCTCCTCCTGTGACACCTGCGCTCCTCCTCCGCTTGCGCTGCGGATGCAGTGCGGTCGCACCCCGCCAACAGTGCACCTGTGCTGCTCCTCCACCTGCGCTGCGGCTTCTCCCCACCATCGTAGGGCCTGCGCTGCTCCTCCAGCGCTTGCGCTTCAGCAGCACTCCTGCAGCACCTGCGCTGTCCTCCTCTAGCGCATCCTGATGCTCGTGCACACGGGTTCCTCAGCTTGTACCATCCGCATGCCACAGAGACGCTCCTCATCCGCCTGCGCTGTCCGCATGCACCTGTGCTCCTCCTCACCTTCCATCATAAACTCTTCCCAGCTGCCTGCAGTGTCAGCTCAAGACTAAGTCCTGAACACATCTGCATCTTTCAAGTCAGACAGCTCCTCCTCCTCTTCAACCTGATCCTCATGATGGGATTGGTCATCATGTGACCTCTCTGAAGCTTGCGCATTGAGCAATGAAGACATCTCCACCCATTGATGATGCCAAGAATTTAGAATTCCAATCAAGCTCCAGAGATCAGGTTCAGAATTCTTGCAATGCATTGATTGATCTCTGATTGTTTTGAACACAATTTTCTCGTTTCTAATCTATGGGCCCTTTCTATCCTATCTACCCCGGGGATCATTGTTTTGCCAAGGCACAATCATTTTTGACGTCAGCGCTTTCATTTCAACCACATGACTTATCGATCTCGACTCATCCGTCATTTCTTTCTCAATTTTCATTTTTGGCCATTCAATTTCATCGTTCACTACCGTCATGGGTTCCATAGATCAGGATGAGCGAGTTTCTAAGATACTAACCTAGAACAGATGTCTTGGTTGCAGCTAGCCACAGGCTTGAGGAAGACGTGTCTGTCTTTATCCTCCTTCCGATTCATCCGATTCCTTCACGTTCTCCATGAGAGTCTCCTCGGTGACATCACCCGAGACACCCTCCCTGAATCGGATAGAAGACGGAAGACTGACAATTCTCGAGCGACACGGACTCGGTGGCAAGGGTCCGAGAAACCCTCCCTGAATCGGAGAAAAGACGGAAGATAAAGCCTGGAAGCCACCGCAGCAGGATCGGTTAAATCTCCTTGTCGGAGACTGGAACTCGGATCACCGTCAATCACACACGGGGCATACAACTTTGGCGACTGACGGCATGGGAACAGAGTAGCACTGTCCCTGACAGAAGCGCAGAGAGCATGAAGCGCAGAGAGCATGACAGGCGAGCATCCTCAGAGCAGCATATCCGGTAAGGGGTCTCCGAAGAGAAATTCACCAAGGAGCCTCCACCGATTCAAAGGCAGAACTTTCGTCAGCAAATCGCCAGGCTGATAAGAAGTATGAATCTTTTCTGGATAGAGCTCGTCCTTTTCTACCAAATCAACAGCATACTTCGTTCGAATATCAATGTGTTTGAGTCGACTATAACTTCGCTTGTCCCACAAAAGCCTCAGACATGGTTCATTGTCGATTAGCAAGAGAGTAGGACGAGTCTGCGTAAATCCCATCTGACCCAAGAGATTTCTATAAAGCTTGACTAATTTTGCGCATGTGGTGGCAGCATAAATTTCCGCTTCTGAAGAACTCAGGGCAACAACCTTCTGCATTTTTGAACCAAAGACGACTACCCCACCATTCAGAACGATTCCATATCCGCTTTGACTCCGTCTCGTAATAATCTCGGTACCCCAACCAGCATCACTGAATGCAATCATCTCATTGACAAAACACTCCTGGTGGTAAGATACTCCGTGACAATGGTATACGATCTGAACCTCCCGAGTAGTGTAAAGGTACTGTAGAAGATGAATTAAGGCATCCATATCGCACTGCCTAGGAGCCCGAGCAAAGCGACTAAGGACGCTCGTCGCGAATGCGATATCAACCCTCGTACAATTTGCCACGTAGAGAATGGACCCCAGAAGACTCTGATAAGTGCGGACTTCCTTCTTGTTCAACAACTTACCCTCCAAGTGATAAGTCTTGAGATAGTGACCAGGTAATACCGTTTTGACACCTCTGGCAACGATTTCAAAGCGTTCAACAATCTTTTCAATGAAATGCTGTTGTGACAAAGTTATCCGACCCTGATCGTCATTCTGTTCTATTTTAATGCCCAAGAAGGTACCTGTTGCCTCACTCCCCGAAAAGTCGAATACTGTGTTGAGCTTCTCAAGAAACTCAATCTTAATTGCTTCAGTTTGAGAGACAATGAGTAAGTCATCCACGAAGACAGTCAGAAGCAAGACGTCCCCCGCACAGTTGGAGTATCGGTAGATGATCTCATCATGTCCTATCCCACTTGCTCCCACCGTCTTCAACACCTGCGTGAACTTAAGATACCATCTCCTTGGTGCAATGCGAAGTCCATAGAGCGACTTCAAGACTTTGAGGAGGCACTCAGGAGGAAGACTCATGATATCTGGAGGAATCAAATACACAGGAACCTCCAAGTCACCATACAAGAAAGCAGCAGAGATATCCCTGAATGTGATTCTCCAACGGTTGCCTGCCGCGATGCTCAGCAAGAGCCGGATATTGTCCAACGATGTAGTCGGTGCAAACAATTCTTCAGATGAAGGAAGTAAGTTGCCCATGATAACTAGCCGCCCCTTTCGTTTCAAGATCTTGCCCTTCAAGTCTCGTTTTGAAGCATACACCCACAAGGCGCGAGCAAGTACAGAATGATTTGACTCCCTGTTTTTCTGATCACGCGTAACAACTTCCCAGACCCCACGACTTTCGATCTTCGCAATTTCCTCCTTTTCAGCCTGCTCCCAAAGATGCCGATCCGGACGACGTAACATCTCTGACCTTGTCTTGGGATCTGGTAACTTGTCAAAACTACTTTCGTTCTCCACATCTCCTGCATCGCAAGCCGCTGTCATCGCGTAATCTGCCTGATTCTCAGGCATTGCAGCTGGATTGTCACGGTCGGAAGACATCAGAGATAACAGGTCAGACGCCAGCTCCACCGCGTCCCATACGGGAGAGACCAACGCTAGATTCGCCACAAGAAGACGCGTATCCCTGAAAGTAGGGTCCACATTAGCACTGACCTGTGGGGCAGATGACACAGGATCGACATGCTGTAAACGAGTTTTGTACATCTCATCCCTCCATACTGGAACAAAACGCTGGGATGCTGGCTGAAGGCTTGTCCTGTCTTCCCCCCTGTCCCAAACATACAAGATCTCTTCAGATTCAGTCGACCCCTGCACAATATGTGTAACTTGCAGATACTGTGGAAATTTCGTGTGCTGGGAAAGTACAACCACTTCAGGCGAACCCCCAACTGTAGCTTCGACAACATCCATGATCTCATCCGCTGCACGATCAAGACAGGGTTTAAAAACTTTGGTATGGTCGGTCATATCACCAAAGACGTTCGGTGGAAAGC